ACCCAGTTAAGTTCAAGAACCAAGCTCGCGCGCCCCCCTCTGCAGGTTAACGTGAGTGGTACAACAATTGCTAGGGAGAGATTCTTTGGTGGAGCCGCCCATGAACTGTGTAGGAAATTTCAACAATGCAGTTTTTGAGCTGCTTACCCACACTGGGGCAGGCTTTAAAGATGACACAGCTGCCACGGAATGACTCATGTACCTGAAGTAACCTCAATGAAGTCACTGGTCCAGCAGACATAATCATATCTGTGGTCTGTGCCCTATCTGGGATGAATTGTGTGTCTCCCCAGGTCACCCAACAGTGGTGCAGGACTGTATAACCACACACTGGCCATCTGAAAGCTATGACATCCCTGGATCTAGGACTGACAGGTAGCCATGTGGCTCCTACACACACCGTAATAATTAACAGCGAGATGGTCAGGTCACAGTGGCAGGAAGATGGAGACCGAGGGGCAGGAGCATGCTCAGAGGGATCATCATGTTCTCAAGTTCATCCAACTCCTTCAGGGTTGGATGGAGATCACTCTGGCTAAGAGAACTCGCTCTTCTGAGAATGGAGTTCAGACCCAGCACCCATGTTACATTTAACTCTAGCTTCAAACAATCTAGCACCCCCTCCTAGTCTCTGTAGGCACACACATGCAAACCTAAGCAATACTGACACCTTTTGAAAAATAAAACCTTGGTCTGAGTGTGGTTGCACACACCCCTACTCTCAGCACATAGGCAGACACATCACTGTGAGGCCTGCCTGGTCCACACAGCATGTTCCAGGCAGGCCAGCCAGATCAGACCTGTGAGAGACTCAGTCTCAAATCCAGCTATAAATAAATAATAAATTCAAACCCTGTCTACTCACTAGTCAGAGTCCCAGAGACTTCTCTTGTTCTGATATTGAAGCAAAGACCATATTCTTCTGAAATCCCACCCTCCAAAAAGTAAGAGGGAGCTAAGGGAAAACAGCCAATGGGAACTCAAGGATGACCCAGTAAGGGGGTGTGGTGGTTTGAATATGCTTTGCCTGTGAGAAGTGGCACTATTAGGAGGTGTGGCATTATTGGAAAAGGTGTGGCCTTGTTAGAGGAAGTGTGTCACTGTGGGGGTGAACTTGAGGGCCCCTAAGCTCAAGCTTTGCCCAGTGCTGAAGAGAGAACTAGTCTTCTGTTTCCCTTTGGAACAAGATGCAGAACTCTCAGCTGCTCCAATACCATGACTGTGTGGACACTACCATGTTTCCTGTTATGGTAATGGACTGAACCTCTGAACCTGTGAGCCAGCCCCAATTAAATGTTGTCCTTTATAAGAGCTGCCTTGGTTGGTGGTATCTTTTAAGGCAATGAAAACCCAAACTAAGACAGAAATTGGTACTATTCTGTGGAGTTGGAGTATTGCTGGAGTATTGCTGTGATAGGCCTACCCATGTTTTTGTTTGGAGGAATGTGGATTTGGGGACTTTGGATTGGAAAGCAGTGGAATGCTTTAAGTGGGTTTAATGGACCATCCTAGTTGGAATATGGAAGATATTGGCACTGGGGGCAATCTGAATCATGCACACCTGGCCCAAGATGGTTCAGTGGAGAATTTCAGTCCGTGGCCTAGAGACTGTTATTGTAATATTTTGGTGAAGAAGTGGCTGCTTTTTGCCCTCCTTTGAATTATCTCTGTCAGACTAAAGTAAACAGATTTCAATTAATTGCATTGACAAAGGAAGTCTCAAAAAAGCCAAGCAAACAGTTTGACCTCTGGTTTGAGCTCATAAAGTATTTTGATCAAGCGTAGACAACTTAGGAAGGAAAAATACAAAATGTATGGTTCAAGTAATAAAGGGGCACCAAAGAGTGAAATGGAGCTGAATCCTGTTTACAGAGAGTAAACAGATTAAGGGAGTGGTGGTCTCGGGGCAAGATTCCACCCAGTTAAGCTTGTTTGTGTTTGTAGTTGAATAGGAATATGTATAGCATGTTAAGTGTTATTACCAGGTTATGGTTTTGGCTTTTTGAGACAGGGTTTCTCTGTATAGCCCTGGCTGTCCTGGAACTCACTCTGTAGACCAGGCTGGGCTCAAACTCAGAAATCTGCTTGCCTCTGCCTCCCAAGTGCTGGGATTAAAGGCGTGCACCACCACCGCCCAGCTTCATTTGGACTTTTTAAATCTGGAGTGAACTACAGTCCAGAAATGGAGGGCATACTGTGGTCCAGATCTTAGGGCTGGAAGACTCGGGCTTTTGATCAAGATCTTGAGGAATAGTGGTCAGCCTGGGACAGAGCATGTTATAGGTGAAGATAAGCTTAAGTCTAGGTGTGGTGGTACAGGTTTTTAATCCCAGCATTCAGGAAAACAGAGCCATACAGATCACTGAGTTCAAGGCCAATCTACAGAGCAAGTTTCAGGACAGCCAAGTTTAGGGAGTAAAGGAGTTGGAAAGCAGAAAACTAATAATGTAATAGAACAAGGGGGCATTTTCCAGCTCCAGCAGGCAGAACTCGGCATCTTTGGCCATGCGGCTCTGGCTTCAGAGTCAAGAACAGAAGGGACTACTAAGACAGTTGATGCTGGTTAGCTGGAGCTAAGAAACTCATGGTGATTAAGAAGAGACCAGCATCACGAAGGTGAAATCTTCTGGGAAGTGTTTTCTGAGAGCACAAAATTGTGTTTCAATGACAGCCAAGGTTGTACTTCATACTGCAGCTGGACTTGGCAATGTGTAAGAGTCACCCAGGTGGTACTGGTTTTGAGAGCATGAAGATATTATCATGGAGAGTAACTGAGGCTTGGCACTGTAGAGGCCAGGGAAGGCCATGAGTGAAGGTACAGCCTCAGTTGCAATTGACCAGGACTGAAGGGGTCATGTAAAGTTGTTGAGGCTTAGCACCATGAAGGGAGCCTATGAAAGGCTCTTGGGGAAACCTAGTTGCAATGAAAAACTCCAGTGCATTGGAGATGCCAGTACTATGGGATGATCACAAAGAACAGCAGTGCCATTGGAGTGGATCAACCAGTGCCTAGAGTGCTACAGAGGGCAGAGCTGGAGAAGTGACCCAAGCCCTTTGGAGGAACCCAGATCACGTAGGGATACCAGACACTGGAATACGAAAGTATGAAGTTGAAGCTGCCTTGGAGACTCCAAGGTGTTCCAGATGCCAAAGCCATGGAATACCTGTTGAGGAAAGCTGCTAACAGGGAATGGAACCAGGGCAGGATAAAGTAGTTTGTCGCAGTCAACAAAGATGAAAGGAGTTGGAAATCTGACATCAGACATGGAGATACAGAGGTTGGAGTTTGCCCAGCTGGTTTTTGGTCTTGCTTTGGGTACAGTATTTCCTATGACACTTGGGGACAGTAATGTATATCCTGTGATATTGGAGGTATGTGATCTGCTTTTTTAATTTTGATTTTATAGAGGATTAGTTAAGTGATTGGATGAATCTCAGAAGAGACTTTGAACTTTTAACACTGTTGAGACTATTATAGATTTTGGGAAATTTTGAAGTTGGACTAAATGTAGTTTGCATTATGCTATGGCTGGCCCTCATAGGACTCATGTGTTTGAACAAACCTATGGGGGTCAGGGAGTGCAATGTGGTGGTTTTTGAAAATGGTCTGCCCATGGGAAGTGGCACTATTAGGAGGTGTGACCTTATCAGAGGAGGTGTAGCCTTGTTAGAGGAAGTGTGTCAACGTGGGGGTGGGCTTTGAGGACCCTAAGCTCAAGTTCCACCTAGTGTGGAAGAGAGATGCAGTCTTCTTCTGTTTTCCTTTGGAACAAGATACTCTCAGCTGTTTGGGCACCATGCCTGCCTGGACACTGCCATGCTTCCTGCCATGATGACAGTGGACTGAACTTCAGAACCTGTGAGTCAGCCCCAATTAAATACTGTCCTTTTTAAGAGTTGGACTGGTCATGATGTCTCTTTACAGCAATGGAAACCCAAACTAAGAGAGGGGCTCTCCTGATACCTGGAGTGGGGAAGCTCCACTACCCAGTCTGAGTCTGAAAGACCCTCTCCACTGCTACTGATGAGGAGAGTTTGGGCAGGTGGGCAATGCCTCAAAAGATCCCGTCTCATCAGTTCACTGTCATGAAAATAGCCCTTTATGTACCAGGTGGCATGTCTGAAGGGTAAACCAACATTCACCCAGCTAGAATACTGCATGTAAGAGTCAGAAAACCTCAGTTATGAAGGCAAGGCCAAGCAATTGAACCTCTGAACACAGCACTGGAGAAATCCACCCAAGAGGCACTTTGTGTGATCAAGGGGACATGGAAGGATGGTTCCTCTAGCAACCACACAGGAAAAGTTCAAAGGGGAAACAGAAAGGTGCCACCTTTAGCATTAATGAAGGTTAAAAAAAAAAGGTAGGAGAGAGTTGGAAAGAATTTAGGCTCAGGGACAAAGGTCTATCACTAGCTGCCCCATCCTTGAGCCAACATTCAGGTCTTGTGTTATACGGATTTCAGGGCAATGCCCAAGATCTTGAGGATATGTAATGTAACAAAACAAATAGGCAAATGTGCTGGCTATAACAAATTTAAACTTCTGAACACCAAGGGGCATCATTAAGACAGTACAAGGGGCTGGAGAAATGGCTCAGCAGTTAAGAGCATTTGCTGTTCTTCCAAAGGAACTTAGTTCATTTCCAGCACCGGTATCAGGTAGCTCACAACAACTTGTAATTCTAGCTCCAAGGAACATGATGCCCTCGTCTGGTCTCTATAGGCACCTGTACACATACATATGCATATAAATACATTTAAAAAGATTACTTATTTATGTATCTGTATGGGTATATATGCACACATGCATGCAGGTACCAGATGTCAGATCCCTTAGAGCTGGAATTCCAAGCGGTTGCCAGCCACCCAACAGAGGTGCTGGGAATTGAATTTAGGACCTCTGGAAGAGCAGAAGTGATCTCAACCACCGAGACATCTCTCACCCCCTAAAAATTTTTTTTAAAAAGACAATAAAAAGAAAAACCCCAACTCACTGAATTAGGAGGAAAATTTTTATAATTGATTCATATGACACAAAGGAACTTTTATCTAGAATGCATAACAAATTTGTAAAACTTCATAATAAAAGGTCAGACAACCCAACGGGCAAACGCTCTGAAGTCTCTGAAGCAGATACACAGCAAATATGAGAAAAGACGCTCCCTCATCAGCCGTCAGGGATGGCAACTACAGGCCAAATGAGACATACTCCAACTTCCTCAGTATGGCTAGTTTAGAGGGCAGACAGTGCTGACAAGAACTCGGTACAGACTAGCCCTCACCTGCTGCCGGTGGGAGTAGAAAATGGGACGGCTCTCTTAGAAACAGCTTGGCAAGTCCCCAAAGGGTTTAAAATAATTATCATATGACCTGGAAAACAGACTCCAGGTATATGACAGAGAATCAAAAAAGATACATCCACACAAAACTTGCACACATATTTCATAGCAGCAGAACTCATAATAGCTAAACACACTGCAACAAGCCAAATGTCCACCAACTAACAAGTTACACAGCACATTCACTGCACACGATGGAATCTTACAATGGGAAGGATCAATCAGGTGTAAGTTACAACAGGAACTAGTGTTTACAAAAGCTCTGAAAGAAACATATCAGTGGTGGGGCAAGTAAAATTTTTCTAAAAGAGGCTAGGTCATTGAAATAACCCTATTTAAAAAGAATTAAGATGAAAATTTAAAAATAAATGTTATAAAAATTATTATAAGAACAATTTCAGAAAAAGTTTCTTATAGAGAAACTGAACACAAACATCATACCAGGCGTACCTTTTTACACCCATGGTGCCCAAGCATCTGACTCATAAGCTAGTTTGCCAACAATGTCCCTGCTCCCAGCCTGGCCTGCACCAGGGTTTCTTCTGTGTCCCCAATTGTTAAATAATCAATACACATGACCCATTTAGAGCCAATTAGTGGGTAAGCGGCATGGTTAAAAGTCTTATGTAATGAGGGGTGCAGGCTGAAATTGGGATGCTAGGTCAGGGATGTGTCCCTGACCATGACAGTGTCCCCCTGAGATGGTATTTCTCCTTACGACACCACTTGGGATTTGGTTAGTTGGCAATTAGACTCCATCTATAGGCATGACTGAGAAAGAAAGGGTGGAGGATCACACAAAGGAAAAGGGCTGACATCTGCAGAAAGCAGAGCAAGAACAAGCAGGCAGAAGCCAATGAAGACAAGGGCATCGAGGACAGGACTGGCCTCCCAGTCCAACAGCTCCTGACTGAAGCAGCATCCCTTGTGGCCCCTTTTCATACCTCCCTCCAGTGACTTCTAAGGACTACTGTTAATTCACAGATGTGGAAACACAGGCCACAAGACAGAAAAAGGGCAAAAAGTTAATGTTTTAAAAAGTGTTCCAGAAAACTGGGTGATTCCAGAGGAAATCCTCAAAGCATGAGTTGACCAATCAGTGTTGATTTCGTGCTAACAGGAAGTTAGCCTCAAAATGGCAGCAGAGCGGGGCTCCTCCCCCAGCCCAGCACCAGCTGTCTTTTCACTCACTGCATTCTGGTGCTTTGGCCTCTACCAGACTTGAAGCTGGTCAATCCTTAGCCACTGCCAAAAGCCCTAGAGCTGCCTTTCCTGTGACACCCACTAACTCCGAGCTGTATTCCAGAGTATCTCAGACCCTACAGAGTTCCCACAGAGAAAGTCAAAGACAATCCTAGGGTCCAACAGGGAAACTCCTGAGCTTCTGACCAGATGTCAAAGCCATGCTTGCTCAGTTGGCCAGGTGTAACTACCCTAGTAGTAGGGTGGGAGAGCCTAGATGAAGGCTTTGCCCACTCTTGTCTCAACTAATCCTAGGGTTTCCCTGTGTGGCCTCACAAGGACCTCTTCCTGGGAAACATAAATGACAAACTCAACAAGAGGCATCTCCTGATAGGCTAGCTTCATCATCTCTAAAAATAATCACACCTACATTATAATGCCATCTTACAAGAAAACAGTGTATCAGCAATCCAAGGACAAAGGAAATCAGAACACCCATATCCTGAAGGTAGCATGACTCTAGACAGAGCATAGCCAATCACCTCCTGGGTGGCTCTAAACTTTGGGCAGAAAAAGGGCTAAAAATAAAGACAGAGGCATAGGAGGACTTAGAGCTACAGAAAAGATAAGACAGGATACAGGATGCTGCATGAGTGTCAGTGGTGGGTACCAATTCCCACAGCTCAGATGTCCAGCTCTTCTTTGATGGAGACACGCAGGTGGCAGATTCGCAGAGGTTCTGGGGGACCGTCACCCCGAGAGGCCCCCAGGTAGAAGTAGGGCCTCACCTCCCCAAAGTGGGCATGGAAGGTGTACAGATGGCAGTGGCGCTCAGAGTCATAGAAGGACAGCTCCCCCTCCTCACACTCCAGCTCCACACGCAGACGGCGTGGCATGGCCTGGACCAGAGGGGCTGTGGCTGTGTCGGAAGTCATGCAGTGGTCTCCATCCACACCCTGTGTGCGGCATAGGTACCAGAAGCCTGAGCGTGTATCGTGGTAGCAGCTGTGTGAGTGGCCTTCACCACCTACATCAGCCTGAGCCTGTGCCTGTGCATGTGCCTGCACCCGCACCACGCCCACTCGCCAGCTCGGCAGGCCACCCACATCCACCTCCCAAGAGTGGGAGCCCTTTGAGAAAACTTGAGAGCCCAGCAGGCAGGGTGCTGAGGAGAAGCGCTCTGGATTCTCCACCTGCACACGGTAGCCATGGTTGATGACACTTGTGAGGTCATCAGCCACTTTGAGCCAGCCAGCAGCTGTGTTGGGATCCAAGCTGAAGGGCACTAGGGACAAAGAGAGAGAGAGAGGAGAGAGTCAGCAAACTGGATATTCTTCTTCTACCGGGTTGGTCGAGGTCCTACGTGCCCTAAAGCATGCAGGGAGCTGCCCAGGGCTGCTGGGGTAGTATAGGTCAAAGTACCCCCACCCCAAAAAAGATCTGTGTTAAGTCCCAAACACTAGTACTTCAGGATGTAACCTTATTTAGAAATAGAGTAGATGGGCGCACGTGCACATAACACACACACACACACACACACACACACACACACGGGGGGGGGGGGGATATGTCATGTGACCAACCAAGGCAAGGGCCATATGGCAGTTACAACCCAAGGATACCCAAGCAATGCAGCAAATGGCAAAGTCAAAGGCCCTTCCCATAGATCAGAGGAGCATGGTTTTGACTATTTCTTGGGAATGAGCTTTTAGCCTTCAAGACTATCGGAGTAGATTTTGGTCATTTAAGCCAATTTATGGTCCTCTGTTACAGCAGCCAAGGAGACTCAGGCAGGGACTATGGAGTAGGAAGGTTTACACACTCCCAGGACAACCAAGATGATCACGTAACATTCCCCTGGGTCGATGCCACTGCTGGGTATAAAACCAGGGCATACTGGGAGGAGAGAGTTGGAGTGACTTTGGGAGAGGTGACCTGGAGTTGGGTCTTTCATCATGAATGTTAGAGTTATGAAGACAGAAAGGAGAGTTAGCATTTCTCAAGTGTGTCAGAGCAGGAAGGCCCTTGGCCCTACCTAGAAAGGGCTGCAGAGAGAACAGCTGAGAAGCTTGGCCAGGTCTCTGCAGCACAGGATGTTCTCCATCTGCCTGGAGCATCCTGCTGCATGTCCTTACCAGATTCAACGGACCCAAGCATCTTCTTCCAGACTCGGTACTGCAGGGACTCCAGATACTTGCATGCATCCATTAGCAAGCCAGGCTGGAGAGGAGCTGGCTCCACGGTGCAGAAGAGCCTGGCAAAGGAAGGCTGGGCATTGGATGGGGCCAGGGCCAGGACCCCTGGGTGCAATGACTACAAGCAGGTTACAGGACTGCTTTCCTTGTCTCAGACCTAAGTTTCCTGGATATCTGTCCCAAGGCAGGAGCCCACTGGGCTGCCACTGCCCTCAGGATTCAACAGGATGTTCAATCCTGAACAGCTGGGAGACACACTGGGAGGTTCTTCAACCTAGCTGCCATTCTCATGGACAGAAATCACACTTAAGCTCATGAGAGGTCCAAGCTGGAAGGACCTTAATGATGCCTGAATTCAAAAGAGTCATGGTGCTATGTGGCCTTTGCTGAGCTCCTGCAAAGACTGGGACCATCACAGCCCAGAGCATTTACTCTCATCTTCTGACAGGACACAATTCTTCTTTACCCATCCTGGAGAGCTCAGCAAGCATCCACCCAAAGAGCATGCCAAAGCTCTTTCCCAGAAGTAGGAAGCCAGCCAAAACCTAAGCCTGTTGACAACTGAGAAACATGAGTCATGTGCCCGGTGCTGTCAATCCCTGTGGAGAGTATCGACACTATGTTCCAAAACAACTCCCTGCCTCCATGCCAACCAGAACTAGAATGCCTTTAAAGAGCTCCCCTTGGCTGGCCACTACTGCTCCCTCTGAATTCCACCCAGTTGGATACGCTACCTGCCTAGCCCTTCTGCCACTGGACAGTGTGGCCCTGGCTTTCTATCTGTTCACCCTCTCCCATCCCCATCAGGTTTGGTAACTTACCGGCGTTTTCGGCTCTTGTGTTTCTGGAAAAAAAAAAAAGCAGAGACACAGACTAAGAGAATGAAAGACATTTCTGACCAAGAGTTGCCAGATGACCCACACTCGTGGATGAGCAGACCTGACATACCCATGGGGATCTCATCTCAGATTCAGTGTCACCCCTTGGAAGTCCCAGGTGCCAGGATGAGGATGCAGACATGGGAGGAAGACCTCGCTCAGTATACACAAGGCCCAGGGCCTTCTCTGGCAAAACTTAGAACTGATCATAAAATTCATATGAAGTTTCAGGAAATGCTGAATAAAGGCAACCTTGAAAACCACCAAGTTGGAGAACTTGGACTCTTAAACTTCAGACTTGCTACAGAAGCTGCTGTGATGGAGGCAGTGGGAGTAACGAGGACAGAAGTTACAATCTAGACAATGCTGGAGTTTCTACAAGGACCAAGGTAAGTTAATAGAACTGTCTTCTCAGCAAACATGTAGGTAACCAAAAATAGGAAGGCCTCTGCCTTGTGTCAGATTAAAAAAACCAAACTAAACCATGACAAAACAAAACAAAACCCTTAAAATGCATGTAAGATCTACAAGAGGTACAGAAGCTTGACTCTCATACTCTGCTGGTGGGAAGACGAAATAGTGTGGCTACTTTGGTAAAACTGCCTCACAGCCCTTAATGGGTTAAAGCAGATTATCAAATAATCCAGAAATCCCTTGTGTACACATCCCAAAGTGCATGCAAGGAGGACAAAAATCAATAAAGAAAGAAAATTAGTCATGTTTTTAAAGGAAGAACAGAATTTCTTTTCTGCACACTCGTGTGTGTGTGTGTGTGTGTGTGCGTGCGTGCGCGCGGTCGCAGTCCATGCACTCACACATATGTCTCCTGGAGCCAGAGGTAAACCATAGCTTGTTCTTCAGCTGCTATCTGCCTTGTTCTTTGGTACAGTGTCTTTCACTGCCCTGACTAGGCTAGGCTGGCAGGCCACTAGGCTGTTTTTTTCGTTAGCTGGTTGGTTAGTTGGTTGTCTCTCTACTCCTGGATGAAATAGTCAAATTGTGTAATAATTTAAGCTTTTTTTTTTTTAAACCCAAGGGAGCTACCATCTCAGCTTATTTTATGTGGCTTCTAGGGGTCAGTGTGGAGCTCATACTTGTAAGTACTTTACTGACTGAGTCATCTCCACAGCCTGAAATCATTCTTTTTTTTTTTTTTTACAAGAGAGAAAGAAAGCAGAGTGTGATCCAGTGCCCCCAACTCAACCACCTTAAAAACAACAGCAATAAAAAAGATCAAGGGTAGAGGGCTCCTCAGCAAGAGGACTTGTCATTCACAAAGCCTATACTACAGACCCAGCACTGCACAGGAAGGGAGGGAAGGAGAGAGGGAAGGAGGAAGGGAAGGAGGG